CTTAGGACTCCCCACTTCTAATCAAGGGGTGCCGTCTCTCCACCCGCCACCCACAGGACCACTCGCATGTGTGCTCTGTGATGCACTTGCCATGAATCACAAGCTAAAGTGCGGGTGAACAAATGTGAGCCTTCCTCAGCACAGTTCGCTCAGGGCGGCTTCAGAGGACTTCTCTCCAGCCTCCTGGCCACTCACCACTGGCTCCGCAGTCTGGAAAATGACCTGCTGTGCTGAGTCACTTCCTCATCCAACATTTCTTGAGCACCTACTGCTGCTTGGCCCTGCTCTGGGCTCTAGGAATGAGTGTGCTGTAGCAAAGCTCAGCTGTTCCCTTGCTCCCTATAGCCTGTAGCCAGCCAGGGGAGCAAAGGAGGTTGGCGGCAGCCTGGGGAGTGCACGCCTTCAGGACTGTAATCAGTGCTGTCAAGAGGGGACCTGGTATGTCAAACAGGTTTGACTTCAGTTCCCAAAAGGGTTTGTTGAGAAAATGAAGATTGAGCTAAGGTCCGGAGAATGAACAGGGGTTAACTGGGCAGATGGCAGAAAACAAACATTTCGGACAACAGCAGCAGCTGGGTAGGGGCCTAGGAGCAAAGGCACAGTGACTGAGGACAGTGCATTGTGTCCAGGAGGCAACAAGGCTGCCAAGGCATCTGGGTCGTACCTGGGGCAGGGCTCATGGATGTGAAGAGCTGGGTGCTGAAATGCAGTACCCAGGGAGCCCTCTCAGGCACGCAGCATTGGTGCTTCCCCAGGATGCAGGAGGACTCCCAGAGGCAGGCCGCTCCCAGCCAGAGGGCCTCAGCTCCAGCCAGGAGTCAGCGAGTGTCACTCACACAGCCACGACCACAGGCGGTAGTCATCACCTGCTGCCAGGGTGAGCCCGGCCCAGGTGGTCCACGCAACCAGACTCCCGCACTACAGAAGACCCTGCCCTTGGGGAATCAAGCTGTACCATGTTCATGGGCCTCGGAACATTAGAGAAGAAAAAGAACAGAGTGGGCTGCGTGAGGGCATCTGTGAGGGATGGGACATGGAGCTCTTCAAGATGGAGCGGGCAGCAGCTCAAGGAGCCCTTCGTCAGTCTGTCACAGGCTTTCTTTCCAGCTGACCATGGGCCACCGAGCCTCAGCCTGGAGCCAGGCATGGAGGGTGACTGACCTCAGCGTGGCCTTGCTGCCTTTGGGGGGCACAGAGCATCAGCTGTCATGGGGGCTGGGGCACCCACAGATTGGGCTGAGTGATTCACCCTGTCACGTGAGGCTCCAGGATGCCCAGGGTATCGAGAGCAAAGGAGACTCTCAGGAGAACACTGCTGTTCCCTAGGAATTTAGTATCCGGGAAATATTCCGGCAGCCACAGGCAAAGTCAGCCTCAGGTGGAAGCCTGGGGCTGAGACCTCACTTTTCTGTCATCACACAGCCTCTGTGCTGGGCAAGGTGGCCCTGGTGGAAAGAAGCTGAGGTTGGTGTCTGGTCCTCACTTGCTACCTTTCTGGGGAAACAGCTCAGACTACATCTGAGAGTACTGGAAGAGAGATGCAAGGGGTGCCCAACTGCTGCAGGAAGTTTCTGCATTAGAGCTGGTTAATCCTGTGAAGGCCACTGTCTGCCAGGGCAGAAAAAACACACAAGCATTTCTTGGAGTTTGCTTTTTCTGCCTGCTGGTCACTTGCTACATTCAGACAGAAGGGTTGGAGCAGTTGGAGGTGATGAAGATTTGTGTGCCCCTGACAATTTCATACTATGAAAATACTGATTCATGTGGTGGTTTGATTAACATCCATTTCCATCGGTATTCTTACTGCTCTATGACTGTTTTCTATTTTTATTACCAACACCTAACACAGTGTCTGACACATAGTAGCTGCTCAGTAAATATTTGTTGAGTTGAACACAGACGAGTCATTTAGAAAAAAAAAACTTAGCATGTTGGCAATTTCCCTGCAGTGTAGGATGCTGCCAAAGGTCTGTCAAAGGCTTTCTTTCCAGCTGACCATGGGCAGCAGAGAATTGCCAGTTTAGAGGCTGTGGAGGCCAAGAATTACATAATGCTTCAGCCAGTGTGGATGTGGGTTTACTTCCTTAGCGAACACTTGGTTAAGAGAAACCTCAAGGTACAGAAATGATCAAACAGGTCTGCAATCACACTCTGCCTATGCCGCCAGCCTGGAGCCTGACCTTTCAGGCCTTAGGGCCCTGGTCTACAGGACAGTTTACAACGGCAGGTCTTAGCCGGGTTAGAGCCTGCTCATCTCTTACACACTTGGGTGGGCACGACTGCTCGACCTGAACATCCTTGTCATCTAGTATTTTAAGGTATTTATCGTTGGCACTGAAACCAAACATTACTTCCATGTCAACACTCTACACAGGAGTTGGAGAAAAATATATAAAATTTCAAGGACATAAAATTTCACCAACAGTTTATGAAAAATGCTTGTTTCTCAGACCCTGTTGTCTTCTAAGAGAAATGAATAGAATTCAAGATCCTGATTTATTCCTAGAGACCAAGGAGGAAGTGGCTTCATTTTTCCATGATGTTCTGTCCAGATTTGGGCTGCTTCCTCCAAAGAGAAAAGAGGGCATTGGCTGATTTAAAACATTGAGGAGGTAACAGGGTAGGCTTTCTGGGAAAGGCCACTTGGATTCTTGCGAAGTAAACAGGCAGGCTGCAGAGGTCAGTAAACAGATCTGTGCCCTGCATGCAACTTTTATAGCTCAAAATTTGTGATTGATTTTTCTCTCAAGGATTTTCAGGCTGAAATTAATTTTTTATATACTGACTTAAGGTGCCCAGCTATTTTTAGATAAAGTTGTCAAATATCCCTTAATGTAAAAGCATGTTGTGAAAAAAAAAGTGGACACATTACATCGCCGGCCCCCAGGGAACGAAGGAAAATGTCCCAGCCTCACCTCCCTGGGTACAGAGGCTGGCGGGCAAATCGAGTGGTGGGTGCTGGGAGTCTGCCTGGGCTCAGAGCTCGGGCTCCAGCTTTCCCCAGAGCACTGACCCTGCGGCTAAGGGGCGCATCAGCAAATTGCACCCCCCTGAAAAGAGACAGGGCCCGCTTGTGTGCAGGCCCAGGGAGGGCAAACCGCCTAATCAGAATCTTCCAAGTGCAGAATTGCTCAGTTCTACACTCGGCCCCTTGCCCTCAATCCAAGCCCCCAGGCAGCACAGGGCCGAGTGGCACTCTGCCAAGCAGGGAAATAGGAAGGAGAACCTCTCCTTCTGGAGTCCCTGACCAAACCTCCTGGCACCCTCACCTCCTGAGCTTTAGGAAGGCTTGGCCTCCTGCTGTGCCCTAGCTCTTTCGGTATGGTGTAACAGGAGGGCAGCCGAGTATCCAGCTGTTTCCTGGAGCACAGGGCCTTGGAGCTCCTGGTCTCTGCATCCCTGTCACCTAGAACAGGGCCTGCGTGCAATGGGCCTCTGTGCCTTGGATGGGTCATGAGAACTGATGTTGGCTGAAAACAGAAGATGTGCTTGAGAGGGGAGCCACACAGACATCCGGGCCCTTCAGCGCCACAGGAGGGTGCCCTGTCCAGGAGGAGAGACGTGGTTCTCCGATCTTTGTTGTCTGACAATAAAACGATGGCTGTTGCTTTGAGCCACTAGATGTCAGGGTGAATCTCAGCACAGGAGCAGGACCTGGACCAGACCTCAGTGCCCAGAAGTGAGTGCTTCTGAAAGGGGAGCCCTCCCCTGCTGCCCCTGTCTAGAAGGTTTCTCTGCTTCCTGGGCCACAGGCCTGATCTGAGGTGGAAAGATGCGTTTTATTTCTGGGAGGAGTTTCCACCTTCCAGTGCGCTTCCTGGGGTAGGAGAGGTGGGCAGTGAACTGAACAGGACCCAGGGCAGTATGTGTGGGGAGAAAGATGCCAATGGCATGAAGGGAGGTGGCCCAGCACAGGCACTCAGCTGGCACCAAGTGGAGGCAGCCAGCAGCAAGACTTGAGAAGAAAAGCACATGGCAAGTAGCTGCAGGTGCTGACTTCTCCTCCTGAAATGCGTGCCTACCTGCTCTGTCTCAAACAGCATGTGATTTGTTTTCATTTGGGTGGCTTTGAGGCCCATCTGCTCACTCGTGTTCAGGACTGCCTGCACTTGGGCTAGGCCTGGACTCCTGTCCACGATCACGCTGGCCAGCTGCAAGTTCTGACCTCCCTGCCATATCTGCCATCTCCTCCTCCTCAGTCCACTCTCCCACCTACACACCCTTGGCAACTGCTGGCTCTGTGACGAAGCCTCTTTATGTCTCCGGAACATAAGCTCAATCATGTTCTATTTTTAATGGGCTTTAACTGTCTGTTCTGCAAGAAAAAAGTCCCTGTAAAAGGAAGTCAGAAAGCAGAACTCAGGCAGATGAGTGTGGGCCAGGCTGGGCGTGGATGGGAAAGGAACTGGTCTGGATGACCACCCCACCCCCAGGGGGTGGTGGACCTGGATTTTCACACCTGGAGAAACTGGGAGTTTGTACTGTATCCGAGTGGCCTGCCACCTGCCCGTCCTCACCCTTGGGGAGATGGTCCAGATGAGCCGCAGACCAGGCTGACGCAGCAGGCTGGTACCTGACGACTGACGGCAGGCCCCACTGACCCCCAAGCCATAGGTCACCAGCCTTGCCCAGAGGAAAAGGTGGGGCTGGATTAGTGTTTAATAGGTCACATGCACAACGTGAAGGAAGAGAGGTTGGATTTGGCTTGAGGCTCAGGGGAATCAGTCCATGGTCAGTGGACTTTAAGGCAGGAACTTCAGGATGGAAGGGTTGGTAGAGCAAAGCTACTTAGTTCATAGCAGAGCAGCGGATTGGAGCCCGAGAGGAAGGGGCCAGGGACCAGACACCGCTATCCAGACCCTCAGAAGCTGTTCCCCCATCCCCTGGGACCCCAGAGCCAGTCAGGCCGGCACCACACCAGAGCACTGGCTGGCAAGGGAGCCCTGGGGACGGGGGCACTGTCAGCTCTCACCTGCTCCTGCCTGTGTTCTGCCCGGCAGTTCTTCCCCTATGGAGACGCCTCCAAGTTTGCACAGCACGCCTTCCGCACGTTCGACAAGAATGGCGACGGCACCATTGACTTCCGAGAGTTCATCTGCGCCTTGTCCATCACCTCCAGAGGCAGCTTTGAGCAGAAGCTCAACTGGGCCTTCAACATGTATGACCTGGACGGTGACGGCAAGATCACCCGGGTGGAGATGCTGGAGATCATCGAGGTGAGCGGGCCCCGCTGCTCCCAGGGCTGAGGTCCCCCTTCCTGCTGAAGGTAGTGTGCGTTTTAACCAGCTACCCACTCACCCTGAGGGCTGGCAGAAGACCCAGGGGTACGGGGTCTCACTGGATCAGTGTCTGGGTCCCCGATCCGCTTTGCTCTGCGGAGCAGGGAGGTCTCCTCCTAACTCGTCCTCTCTTGGGCCTTCTCTGTGCAGTGCAGTTATATCTGCAAGCACCTGGGGCTCCTCCTCCTGCAGCTCCAGGCATGGCCCCCACTCCCTTCAGCTACCCTGCCCTGCTGGATTTTCCATCTTACTTGGTCAGCTTGGGCCTCCCTGGGATCCCTCACGCCCTACTACCCAACAAGGCCTTCCTTCCTGCAGCCTGTGCAGCTGAGGCTTTCCCTCGCACATGAGATGGCTGCCCCACTCACCTGGGTAAGAGAATACAGGATGGCACGCATCCTCACCCTGTGAGGAGGATCCTGCTCCCTGATGTGTTCCCAGAACGGGAGCTGGCCAGCTCCCACCTGCCTCAGCAGTCTGTCTCACTGCTGTGACCGATCTGGCAGGCGGACGGAGGGCACCAGGCTGGCCTGTCAGCAGCTGCTCTTTCTCACCGTGGAGGGGTACTCGTAGTTCTTCCTCATCTCTTCCTTGGACTTCGAGCTCTTCCAGTCATTTTCGTGTGAGGCTGTGTGGACTGCTTTTTTTTAGACCTAGTTATGGGTAACATTATTTTTCCTCCTAAATGTTCTATTATCTGTGTTGTCTTAAGCACTGGGGTTTGCTGTGACAGTCACATAGATGAGGGTGATCTCTTCCAGGCTTGTTATGGAGCTTTGCCTGAGTCAGAACAGGCTTTCTTCAGAGTTTTCCTACCAGCAGTGTGTGACCATTCTGGGGTCTCCGTGGACTATTTCAGGTATTCATTGGCATCCTTCTGTTTAGCTGGTAGGAGTCAGCTCTGTGTGCGCTGGAACTTACTCAGATGTTTCAATAAGGCATATAAAATAACTCTACAAGAGATGCAAGTAGTAAAGAGCGTTCCAGAAAATAAGGCGAGACTAAAAAAAAAAAAAAAGAGGGTCAGGAGTCCTAGATGGGAATGCAGAAAATGTTTCAAGGGGGAAGCAATGAACAATTATGCCAAATGCTATCGATAGGACTAAAAACAGCAGTTATTAACAGTTGGATTTGGCGATCTGGAGGGCACTGGTGAAGGAGTCAGGAATAGTTTCAGTGGCGTTGGTCAGAGAAGGGAGGAAGCCAGGAGAAGAGTGAGGCAGGTGTGGATACATGGCAGCGGTGGTGGGAAGAGGATGCAGAGCCAGGAGTGCCACTGAGGGCAGTGTCTGACTTGAAATCATTTGGGAACAGGATAAATGGCCCCGAAGTGCCAGCAAGTGGGAGAACACCTGAGTGCTCCCCCTTGAGAATCATGGGTGAGGACTCCTGCTGTTTGAGAGATCATGATGCATCTGGATGCGTGCCCATAAGTCACGGAGCTGTTGTTTCCTCATCCTAAGGCCAATGCCTCACCCAAGCTCTGTTCATGATAAGTGTAGGATTTTGCACTGGGAACCTCCTTTCCAGACTGTCATGTTCATGGTCCAAGTCTCAGTCACCTTGGAAATAGGTAAGGGGACCATCTCCAGCTGGCTGAGGTGCAGTTTGGCACTCTGGTGTTTACATTTCTCATTCTTAATGCTTTGACTTTATTCATAGTTTCTGGCTGTCTTCATATCCCTTGCCTCAGGTAAGGCCTTTTAATTTCCATTTTTTAAAAGGACAAAATAAGAACAGCTTATATATAGCTGGCTTGCCTCTTTTTAAACTCGAGGCACAAAGGCAGTGTCTGCCTTTCCCTCATCCACAACTCAGGCTACACGGTAAGATTCCTCATGCCCTGGCCACACTCAGGCAGCCACTTGTCTACTTGGTCTCTGGGTCCTGGCCCCATCACATATGGCTTTCCTATCTGGCAGAGGCAGCCATGGCATCTCCTCCTCTTTCCCTGGAGGCTTATCTTGCTGCAGCGTCTATCACAATCTCGTCCTTGTCCATGCTAGCATACCACACATACTTCACCTGTTTACCAGTGGACAAGCATTTGGGTCATCATTAATAATGCTGCAATGAACATTCTCACGCACCTGTCTGTAGATGCTCAGTTCCACCTAGGAAATGTTCACATTGAGAGTTATGGATTGAATAATTCTCAGTATGACCTAAGAATCAGAATCTTCTCATTCTGTTCTTCTGACTCACAGTCCCCAATCCAGATTCTTTCTGAACTAATCTGTTTCAGAGCTCAGTTTGAGTGGTGCACGTGGTTTGACTGTTTCACACATGGCAAATTCCTTATTGGTTGCAATCACATTCTTTTCCTACATCTCCAAGGCTGGTGTTGGTGAGTGTCATATGGACCTCAAATTCAGAATATTTAAAACTGAACACTTCACTTTCCTCCCTGAACCAGTTCCTAATCCACTACTCTTGATCTCATTTCGGAACACTTTCTGTCCACTGCCTCTGCCAGAACACTCAGAACCATAAAATGCTTCTAATCAGCACAAGACTCACACGTCTCTGATGACATCACGTGCCCACTGAAAACCCCTTAAGGAGTCCTTCGAAATATGCGACTTGTCTTATGTCAAACTTTACTGCTTTGTGCTTCTTCTCCTTAGCTTCATCTTTCAAGAGCACCTTATTTGATTCTTCCTCCTACTGATAAGCTCTAGCAATTAAATGGATTTTAAAAATTCAATCAAGTTATTAAAAAACTACTATATGCCAGGCATTGTGCCAATCCCTGAAGTTACAAAAGTAAGAAAAATATGATTCCTAGCTTCTGAAGATGTCCGTGCTGAAAGGGAAGACAAGGCTTTAGTGTAATAAAAGTGTGAGATGTATGTGGTTGGGAAAGGTGGTGCAGACTGATGAAATGAAAGATGAGTAGGGTCCAGTCAGGGGAAGGGTCAACAAGAACAGCTTTCTGCCCTTCTGGGTTTCTAGTTAATACCATCTACAATGTCCTTTCCCTCAAGGCGATCTACAAAATGGTGGGCACTGTGATCATGATGAAAATGAATGAGGATGGCCTCACGCCCGAGCAGCGAGTGGACAAGATTTTCAGCAAGATGGATAAGAACAAGGATGACCAGATTACACTGGATGAGTTCAAAGAAGCTGCAAAGAGCGACCCTTCCATTGTATTACTCCTGCAGTGCGACATTCAGAAATGAGCTGACACCAATACTACGGACTGCACAAGTCTCAATGTTCCATTTAGTCTGCAGCTACACACACACACACACGCACGCATACACACATACACACACGTTGCTTGGACTACCTATACATGGACTTGCTTCTTGTGTTTGAAACACTGTGTGCATGAGAATGTCATTTGCTAATGAATTTTAAAAGCATATATTATACAACAAAACCTCCCACAATGTGATATGTGTCATATCATTTCATAAAAAATAATCCTCAAAAGCCTGGCAGAAATGTGCTGCGAAGTTACATGATTTCTGTACCTGTGTGCTAACACCGCATCTCCTGGTTACATGTTAGTGCCACTGAGCCCCACAGTGATGTACCCTAACCCTGAGCTGTCACCTTCTGTACAGTAGAACTGCACAGGCCCGCACTTTGGCCACACAAGCTCTTGTGTTATAAGTATAAATGTGCTGTTTGCATGCCTTTTGGGTTTGCCTTAATTCTTACCTCATGTGCATCCTACTGATCTGGAAAGAGCTGTTTTTAATGAATGCAGTATAAAACTTAAAAATCCTGCTAAATGATTAATTCATTAAGTATATCTACCTACATATACATATTCAGAGATATTATTTATTAAAAGTAAAAAAAGATGGAAATGTATTGTTTTCTGCTTGAGTTTTCAAAGGCTTCCAAAAAGGTGGCAACAGATATCTCAAATAAATTTATAACATTTGATTTTCCTCCCTAATTCTTACTTTATCATTTTAAATTTGAAACATCAAGAAAACAGTCAAGTCAGCAAGTGGTAACTTTCTAAATCTGCCCTTAAATACACGCCTTCAGAATTTAAAAAACTATTAACAAAAAGAAAAGCAACTTCCCTATTTTTCTTCCAGCCCCTCCCAAAGGGACAATAAGGCATATAATGATTAAACAAAAGACTTGTTTATTCCAAAAAATGCTGTGATAGTAAACTATCTGTGACTTTGGTGCTCACAACATACTGTGTTATACGTAACTATGTAGAAAGTACATTTAGTGGGGTGAGAGGTGTCCCCCAAGATAAGCTATTAGGAGACATCCGCTATCTAACTCATAAGTATACTAGTTTGATTTATAAAAATGGGGCAAATGCTGACCTTTTCACCTTAAGAACAGGTTGAGATTCATCAGGAATTCTAAAAGTAGGCTGGCAGGTTTAGAATAGGGCTGGAGAGACTTGGTTTCTTTACACAGTGCTGCCCATTTGTACTTCTTCTGTCTGCACTTTAAGAGGCTACCAGGCACTTTCAGTATGGCCTGGTATGACTGAGGAACTACACTTTAAATTTCTAATTAAATTTCATTTGCTAGGTAGAATGAGTGGCTAATGCACCAGGCAGTGTGGCACTATATTCTTCAATGAAGCACTTTCTATTGAGTACACTTTCCAAAATATTCTTCCTTTGTTTTAGGATCATTAAGACTGGAAAATGACTCCTTTCACACATTCAACAACAAACTGTGACCAGGCAAACCTTACTATAAACTCTGTACCTGAGACAGTGACAGGACCCAGAATCTGTCCTCAGAGGACAGTTCCACAGGTACAGACGCCTGTGCATAGTGAGCTCAGCAAGTAGAGACCAGGGAGGTTTAGCGTCTCCCACCTCCCAATACTCTTTCCTCCACTACTTGTGGATGGGTGGGTGAACTGGGCAGAGCTTCTGGATGAGACCCTCAGGGAAGGCTCTGGGTAATTCCTAACAGGTCATCACAGATCACTACACACCCAACACCCCAGAAAGGAGAGAAGGGAGAGAGCTGGGACACAGTAGTGGCTCTGCAGTGGGGTGGGAAGCTGGCGTTTAAGATGAGACCTTCCCGAAAGGCCAGGGAAGCCACCAGTGTCACAGACGCTGGGCATTTACAAGAGCAACTCCTTTCGCAGACCCACTAGTTGCCTCATAAATAAAACAGAGGCAGAGGCAATGCCTCGATCATTAGTGATAATTAATTTTAGTAGCTGTGTAATTTACATCTTGGCTTATTCAAACTCATCACACTTGTTATTTTGAGAAAGATTTTAATCATTTCCAGTGCCAAGAATGAAGAAGGTAGGGTTTAAAAATCCAAGGAAGATTTCCTTTTTGTTTCTACAGGCTGAGTCACTATTCATAAAAAGGCTTAAGTTAGTCACATTTCAACGCACAAAAACCATGACTTTAATACACGTAATTTTTTTTTATTTTTAAAAGTTAACAATCTTTTTATTCCTTTACTTTACCTAATAATACTACTATTGGCACATTAGACAAATATATTTTTCACTGATAGATGAAACCAAAACTTTGCCGAAGCAGTGAATAGTTTTCAGTTCAGCAGGAGATGCTCAGATACCTGAGGATACTTCTCATTTGTATTAAGAAGTCTGACATTCAAAATGGTCACAAAAATCCATACATTAAAAATTCTTAGCTAGTAAAATTTATGCATATGGTAAACTCTAGTTTTTATTTGAAAAAGCACATGAATGGGAAATAGTTTTGATACAAATGAGTTGTAAGTGTAACTTAAAAGCAGACACTGTATGGTTACTGGAGAATACTTAAAATATTCAGCATACATCTTCTTGCTATAAATTCTTACATTAGAAAGCACACAAGTTTCTGGTATCATCCGACAATTGATCGCAATTTGGACTCCCTCCCCAGCCAAAAGCAAAATCAGTTTTTTCTCAAAAACTACAGAAGTGTCCCTTCTCTTAATGTATGTCTTGAAATACTTTTTTCAAATTTATAAATATGTATTCCAATATTTATTGCTAGTAATACAAGGAATACTTTTTGGTATTTAATACATTTTAAAAAGTTTTATACTGACGCTAGTATCAAAGCATATATAAGTCCTATTCATGTTTTTTTTTAAAGTTCATAAATTCCATTGTTTTTTAAAGAATAAACTATATCTGATCATTCTGGCAGCACACTTCTCAGCATCTCTAAAATCAGGATGTGTCTACAGCTGATCTCATGAGCTCTCCATCCAGGTGGCCTCTGGTTCACACAGCCAGCTACTCACTGCTCTCCTCCCAGCCCGCATGGTCCCTCTGGCCTGTGTCCTCACCAGAGCCCTGGACTCCAAACTGAGGGCTTCTCAACTTGGTCAGGTACCACAGGCCAGGGTGGACAACTGCAACATGGTTTGGTCCTGTGTCCAGTTACAGGCTGTCATCTGGACAGAGGACAGTAACAGACTGAGAAAATACTGGGTCAGAGCAAACAGCGCCTCAAGACTTCAAGAGTGTCTCATAAATAGATAGCATGTTAATTTGATGAAATACAATTAAAAGTTATAGCCCAAATCTGTTGTTGAGTCCCAGGGTTAAAAATTACCTACAGGGAGGAACTACAGTGTACTTACCGTGCTATGTAAGTCCCTCCTAATTAATGAACGAAAACCAGACACTAAGTCCACTGTAAACTAGTTTTCCTCCAAAACCACCCTTGTACCCCACCCTATGTAATGAGAAATCCCTCCCTTCTGCTTTTGATCATTTAGCTACAGAATGTAATATTCTGGAAATGCAAACTAAATATAAACTGGTACTCAAGTTTTATTTTAATTCTTACAAAATACTACAGAAACGAACCCAAACTAAGCAGATATGTACACAACATGTGTACGAAATGCTACTTCTTAAAGTGTCCATATAAGTGGATGGTAAAAGAAAAATCAGAATCTTCAAAACCAAACGGACTTAAAACCAGCACTGTGAAACTGATTTTTCTCAAAGGAAAGCAACAGCAGTTTTAACCTACTGACTGTCCCTGGTCTTCTGGCTTACGCACATGGTACCATGGCCTGATGGAACGGCTCTTTTGAGAGTGACCCAGCCTCAGTTTTTCTCCTGGACAGTGCAGCACTCTGGCCCTTCACAGACCTTGAGGACAAGCCAGGCTCAATCGCATATCAGCTCCGCTCATCCGCATCCTCCTGAGTCACAGGTCGGAAAGGCAGCGTAGTCTGCCCTCTTTCAGGATCAGACATCCGAAGAATTCTAATCAACTTACTGGAAGGAAGTGAGCTAGAAAAAGCAGAATTAATGACTAAAATTTCCAAGGAAGTTTTACCCATTAAAAATAATCCTCCGGGCTTTGGGACTAGCTCAGCAGATGAGCACATACAGGGCTAGTGTGTGCAAGGCCTGGGTGTAATACCCAGCTCTAAAAACCAAAATCAAAGAACTAACATCACCTCATCAAAATACAAGTCTAAATGCCTGTTGTTTGCTAACAGTGGGATACATCGAACACCAAGAGTTCTAGAAGAAATACGATGTGCAATAAGGAAATACTTTATTTTCATTTTAAACATTAACTTCTTGCTAAAACCCATGTTTTCAGTTTGGAGGAAAAATAAAGGAGATTTATGTCAATTTTTTGTTTTGTTTTGTTTGAGACAGGGTCTCACCATGTAGTCCAGGCTGGCTTTGAACTCACAGCAAACCTCCTACCTCAGCCTCGCGAGTACTAGGATTACAGGTGTGTGCCACCACGCCTGGCTTATATCTCAACTATTTTTAACTCCTGCTCTTGTCTAACCAGGATGGAGTTACCTGAATACTCTAATCACAAAGTGAAATAGCTGTAATACACCAGACCACTTTAGACAGAACATCAACTCTCAGTACCAGTGCCTAACACACTGTAGGTACTCAGTAAGTACTATTAAGAGTAGAGCTCTTTATTTAAAAAGACTGATTTGTAAGTCACCAAAAGAGTCAAGCCTAGAAAACCTTGCATTGCTTCTTTGTCCTACACAGAATAACTAGCATTATTTTATATCAGTTGTTAAGATTAACCACAAAGGAGCAAATTAGAAATAGAAATTTTAACAAGTCAATAATATTCCAGCCAACTTGACTAAGTTACACAAGGGAGATAAAACAAGCAAAACTAAATATCTAGAAAAGAAGATCTAAATCCCCTAGGGTAGTAAAGAGATTATCCCCCTGCCACTGGACATTTATGTATTTGTATTTAAAAACTAAATCTGTAACGGATTTATTCCCCCATTTATATACTTTATATATATTCACAGAAAGTTTTAAGAAGTTACCTCATGCTTTGTGGCGTAAGCAAGATAAACTGTCTGAAACGCTGAGAATCCGCCATTTTAAGAATCATGTCCATGGCAATCCTCCTGTTAACCATATCCTGAAGAACAAAGGCAAGAGTTAGTACTGCTTTTATGTCAATCACAGTTCAGTAAAAGTAGCACTCAGCTGCCTGATACAAAACCCTGGATTTTTACCCACTATTTTATTTATGATGCCCAGAAACTCATATGTAGTAAAATAATATCAAAAACCATGCAGGGAAAATAACTGAGCGTTCAATGGTAAGCTGTCTAATGCACACTGAAAGACAGCACACACTCGGCAGAGGCGCCACATTTAGAAAATGACAAACTGCTTAGTAAGATTGGAAGATGAGCTACTAAACCACAAAAGGCCTCAGATTTACCAAAAAGGAATTAACATTCATCCTACTAGCCACCAACCCAATCTATTTTAGAAATACAAGCCTGCCAAATAGGTGGAGGACAGAATGCAGAAGACAGCAGGGAAGACTGAGCTTGTGAACAGGAGGATATCACAGCAGGCAGGAGGTGTGTAGCACAATGGGAAGCAGCAGAGTAGCAGCAAAAAGGGGGAAGAAGACAGAGACTGGGGGGACCTCAAAGGAGGAGCGGATGGAGCTCATGTGCAGTATACCGGTAAGAGGAGGGAAAAAAAAAAATCACAGGCAAATCACATATCTGAAGCTAGGTGATTTGGCTGTAATGAGTTTGCTACTAATCAAGGTAGGGAAATTAAGAAAAGAAAAAGGCTTTGAAAGGGAGACACATGTAGTCTTGAGTTTGAGAAGCTGGCAATGTCTAAAGAGCATGTCAGGACAACAGGCCTCAGTCTGGTAGGTTTCCCTATGCACGAAGTAGCTTCAGGGACTGTGTGTGTGTGTGCAAGGAATAGGAGGGCGGTACAGCGTCCAGTAAAAGCAACAAATGTGCAAAGACCAAAGGAAATCTCAAACACTGAAAGGCATCAGAATTAGGGGAGGCAGCCAGACAGCTTGAAAAGAGTGAACAGATAAAACCAGGAAGTGGAGTGTGGAAACCACTAAGATGACAGTCAAGTACTTTAATGATAATTAAATTACAAACCACTTACGACCTTTATTAAACAACTTTTGTTGGAGCAGGAGACGAAGCACTGAGAAGAGTTAACTGCTATATATGAAGACTCAGTAAGTGGATGCACCATGCAAGTTATCACATGCACGGCTCACTTGAGCTGTGCCTATGGCTTGTGAGGAACGAGATGTGAGGTCTTATTTTTCACATGAAGAAGCTGAACCAAAAAGGATGTGTACTTGTCTAATCTGTGGCAGAGATACGTCTCAAATCCCAGCTTTAACCTCCGAGTAAAATGCCCTTACACTGCCCTTGAAAGTGTAGCTGTTGAAGGCAGGGAGAGCAAAAGCAACTGGATTTGGTGTAAGGGTGGTGAGCTGGTTGCAATGCTGTTACACTGTGAGAGCCTGAACATTTCTGGATTGAGGGAATTAAGCCAGGGAAGAGGTTGAAGGAGACAGCCTGTTGGAAGGACAGTCAGGACGCCCATGCTGGGAGAGAAAGGCTACGGTTCAGGATGTGGGTCTCTGATGGTAATGCATGGCAGTAAGGGGAGAATTAGAAGTCCAGGGTCTTCCTCCACCACTAACACCACAGATAAAGTACCAGGGCAGGATCTTTCCTGTTATGGGTAAAACTAAAGAAAGTTTTGCTCCTCTCAAAATGCATTTCAAATTTTTAAAAAGTGAGCATTTAAAATTTCACAATACCATGTAGACATCAAACTCATCCAGGCATCTGAAAGGTGATTCAGCGATGGACCACAGGGAAAGAATGAAGCACACTGTGGAGAAAGAGCGTTCACCACCAGACAAAGCTCGCATGTCATTGAAGGCAGCTTTATTTCCCTCTCCAGGCTGAACCTTGAAGAGAATGAGGCAATAAGGGGAGAAAATTATAGGAAATTTCAGATGAAATTCTGTGTAACAAAGGTAGAAAAGTGTGCGTGTAGAGTATCAGAAGGAATGGGGCTACAGCAAAAACAGGTGGGTGAAAAAGAAATTAGTGGTGTCAAAGTATTCCATCTGAAATACTTTACAGTAAAACAGTGAACTATATAATGGTAAAATTTTAATTTTACTTCAAGAGAATCAAATAGGACACTTTTCTTACAGTAACCTAATTTCCAAAATTCCAAAGGTTCAAAAATATAGTACTAATGTAAACCAACCATAACTTACCAAAATTAAGAATTTAAATTAGTTCTCCTGAAGCTGCCTACTGTCTCAAACATTAAAATTACTGTATTTAGCTTAGTGGTTCTGCTGCCTGCCTGGCAAGCACAAAGGCCCAAGTTCAATCCTTGGTATCAAAAAAAAAGTACTGTATTGGGATAGTTTTTCCTTACTTGAATTATAGTGACATCTAGCGGTTACACAGCTTTAAAATTACACATACTTCTCATTTAATGAACTGTTTTAATGACTATTTGAACAACTGGGTATTTTTTTTTTCAACAGTTCAGTACATCTTGCTCATAAAGTCTCAATGTCTTTTTTTTTGCATAGTACACTGTTTATACAGTACTGTAATTTTTGTGGATTATACTGTACAGTATAGTGCTATAGTTTTATGCTGTTACAAATTACACTATTTCGTGTAAGTTATGCAAAAAGTAAAGTCATCACCCTGAAGTTTCCTCTGAACAGTTCTTTGTTCTCAATACTGTAATGTATATACTATAATTCATTTTAGTGCCCAATTCATTTAGTGACCTAACGGCAGGTTAAATGTAACTTACTCATTAAATAAGGAATGCCTGTGCTGAGCTAGGCACAGTGGCAAAGCACTATGGGAGGCTGGAGGCAGGAGGAGCCCAAGTTGATGCACAGCCTGAGCAACTTAGCAATACTTCATCTTAAAAAAAAAAAAAAGTGGCTGGAGTTGTGGCTCACTGCAAGGGCCCTGGGTTCAATGCCTGGAGGGGGTGGGAGCATAGGACCAACTTGATGACGTTATGCTGGCCAGAGAATAAAAGCAGAAATGGACTGGAATACATTTTAAAATCTTTTTAACATCCCTCTTTAACAAATAAGGGTTCATGGGAACAGTAAAATGCCACTCATTAAAAACAATCTCTTTTGTATACCTTCTGATAATATAAAGTAACCTAAGATTTTATTTTGACAGAATTCTAGGTGAAAAAAAACAGTACCAACCAGTTTTCTATCAACAGAAGACACAGCTACCAACATTTTCCAACTCACTACTTAAAAATTACTTTGTCTTCAAATAAATAGTCCTTTATTTTTA